AGATAAAAAAATATAAAAATTTGCAGCAAATGTATTGATACAGAAGCAAAGAAATTAATATCTAATGTAACACTATTCTACTCTGTCCTGTAAAATGTCCGTTTGTTTTGTCTTATTTTCCGGCGTTCCTACCCATTATAGTGATATAATTAAGGAGCCCGCCTATATATATCTACCTTTTTCTATAATCTGAAAAATCGAGATGAAGATTTATTTGTTAATTGTTCTTTTCAGTATAATACAAGTATATGAGAAAAATCTGCATCACCAATGAGCAACACATCTCTTTAGCATAATACTCGAGGTCCTTCCAATGTCCAAATGGGTTTCCATTGGTTGCAATATCCGTAAATTGTTTGACTTTTCATAGAGTTCTATAATAAAATATAAAAGTATTTTTAAGTAATATAATAAATAAAAAATAATATAAGAATAATGGAAAGAAACATTTGTTGGAAAGGAGGGCCTCTCAATTGGAGAGCAGCATGCAAGAGAAGATTTGCAGGCTAGAGGGAAAAATATAACATTGATATTGAGGCCTATACAATAGTCTTACATTAAACACGACGGCTTATAACCCTACTTTATGGTCACTCCTCTAGCTTAGTACTTTTATATAAAAAAATAATTCTTATAATATTATATATTTTTGCTCTATTTATAATATTTACTCACTTTTTGTATGTGTGATTGCGTGCTGTTTCCGTGATCATTAGTCCCGCGTTGGGTTTTAAGGACCGCACATAAAGATCAAAATATACAAGGCACATAATTGCTCCTCCCTATCCCACAACCCAAAGGTTTGTCTAGATATCCCTGTCTCTTATAACCGCTCTTTTTTTCTTTTTTATATATATAAAAAAATAAAATATAACAAAAAAAAAAAGAAGACATAAAACGCAAAATTGAAAGGAAGGGATGTTTGGGAATATGTGTGTGCCCTCCATTAGAGAGATTAAAAAAAGTGCATTACCTGTTTCCTTTTTCACTTTGGCTTTTGGTTGGTTGTTTCTAATATATTTCCTCCTCCATTATTTCATTATGTGTTGTGTAGTTTGTTCGAGACTAAAAAATAGTTTGATTTTTAAAAGAGTCCAGGAAATGAACAGAAATTAGTTGAAACTTTAGATAAGATTATTTATTTTTAAAAGAAAAAGATCGATAATGTTGGGGAGTTTTTAAGAGAGATGTGGTGGGGGTAGGAGTGGGAAGGAAGGGGGCCAGTCCCCTACCCCAAAAATATATATATATTTAAAAAAAAAGGGAGTGGAAGTTTATTATACAGAAATCAAATATTATGGAACAAAATCATTTTATTTTTGAAAATACAAGTGAATAAAACAGTTTCCTTATAATAAAATATAAAGGAGTTAAAATAGTAATTATTTGGAAATTATACAATGAATATAAGAAGTAAAATTAGTAGGTAAATTATTTCTGAAATTAATTAGTATGATATTGAAATTTTATTTTGATGTAATTATGTATTTCTCAATCTAATTTGAAATCGTTTCACAACCACTGAGATTTTAAATCTGTACAAAATATCACGTGGGCAAATTGGATTTCATTTTACGTTTATTTAATATTTTTCCAATTTTGTGTTTAGATACATGTTTTGTGATAAGTTGTTGACAAATTAATTATTGTGATTACTTCCATCAATTTTGGATTTTTTCATAAACAGAATTTAAATATCTAAGACTAAGTAATTTTCTAAACTGGTATAAAGCAGCCAATTTAAGAAAAATAATATAAAAATAATAATAAGAACAAGTCAACATTAAATCAATGGTCTAGCAGAAAATGGTTGATTGTCTTAATTATTAATTTTAATTTCTTGGGTATTAACATATCGCAGTATTGGGTAAAATTAATATGGTGAGCTCGTCTCTTTTTTATATGGTAGGGGCTATTATTTCTTTTTAAAAAAAACAAAACCTGGGTCATTTAGACTTTTTTAATAATAAGTAAAAATATAATAAAAAATACTAATTGTAATTAATATATTCACAAATTCTTTAAAAAGAAGAAAATTCATTGGTATCTGAATTTATATAATAATGTATAATTATATTTCTAAATTGGCTTTTGGAGAATTTAAAGGTCAAATAAAAGATTCTATATTAGTAGTATTTCAATGACCTATTATTATTGTTTTTTCGCTTCCGCTTTTTTTGATGAAGTGTTCAAAATGTGAATTGATTACGCTTTGCCATTCATCATGAAGCATTATCAATATAACTTATTATTGAACCAAAGGTAAACCCCCCATTTTTTTTAAAAAAAAAAAAAAAAAAAAAAAAAGAAGACATAAAACGCAAAATTGAAAGGAAGGATGTTTGGGAATTGTGTTCCATAAAAGGATAAAAAGTGCACCTTTTCACTTTGCTTTTGGTGTTTTTCTTTTCCCATTTCAATGGCCAGTTACTTCCTATCAACTATGGTCAAGTCCAAAAAGTTCTTTTTCTTTGTGCCTATTTTCATAACTGACCCTTCAATTTTTTTAAAAAGTTTTATTCTGCCATTAATTTTTCTTAATTTTACATTTTCTTCCTTTTATAATTAAAGCCTATACCCAAGGCTTTCATGGTGGATTAATGTATTCCTCTGCGGAGGAGCCTACTGCTTTGTTGAAGAATTTTTCGTTGAATATTTCAATTTATAATAATATACTTATAAAAATAATTTAACATGTGAGAATCATTGCTTTCAAAAAAAATTGTGAGAATTATTGTATTGAATTCTTCGTCTTATAAGATTAAATCAAATATATTTAATAGATAATTGAAAATTGTAAAAAATTACTGTACCAAAAATTATACTAATCAAATATTAAATAGATATTTTATATATAAAAAATTTAAAAACAATAAACAAAATTTAGATTGACAAAAAAAGAGTACAAGGTTGAAGTTATTTATTGGCAAATTATAATTTGGTTTTCAAAATTGACTTTCTAAATGGATTATTATAGTTGTAAATTAAGAGGTGAAAAAAAAAAAAGGGATGGAAATTGAAAAAGAAAGGGAAGTGAACAATTTGTCCTCGTAACTGAAACCCTATTTGTCGTGCACTCCACTGTGGAGTAAGGTAGGCCCCAGAAGTCACGGGGATAAGCAACATTAATTACTGGATCGTCTATTTCTCATTCTTCTCTACTTATCATCTCACCTTCAATTTCTCGTTGTTCTGGGCTTTACATGGGCTCCTTTATAGTTGGAAACAAGCACATTTACCACTTCTAATATATGAACAAAATAGTACAAAGAAAAGCTAAATCGCTATTTAAATGAACAGTAACTTCTAATAGATGATAAAGGGCAAAATGGAAATAGCATAAAAAATATTTGGTTTTAGTATATATATAATGTTTGTTTAACTGCTCCAATTAAATCTCAGCCATTACCATTTCAAATTACTCCCCGCACGTCAAAATATATTTTTTAGAGATTAAAAAAATTATTATTTTTTGAAAATTATTATAAAATTAAATATAATTTAATCAAATTATTTTTTTTATCTTACATCATTATATTATATCTAAATAAATAAAAAATAAAAAATAAAAATTATTATGTTTAAAAATATTTAAAACCATTTATATTTTAAAATTTTTTTAGAGACACAGTGATTATGAGAGATATTAGATAACCTACAATAAAAGCATATCATAATTCAACAAAATACATTAAAACTATAAAATTCACATTGAACAGGCCATTAAATTGGTTAGAACATTACCAAAATGATCGAGAGGCGCACGTATAATTGAATATATTTTATTAAGTTAATAAATTATCATGAAAGCCAATTCCACGACCTAGTAGGCTAGTGCTGTTTGTAGCCTACCCTAAGGACAGCATAAAGATCCTGAGAAATTTGATATGAAGCTCTCTTTCAATTCAAGACTTAGGAAGCCCGTTGGGCCCAACATCCAAGAAACTGACTCTATCTCTGAAAAATAAATAATAAGCCCAGAAAATAACCGAAAAAAGAAAAATATTTTGCATTTCTTATTTTCACGAGAGAAGTGCACATGTGAGTATGTGACAAAGCGGACAGGGATAGAAGTCGGCCTGTCAAGTCGCTGTTCTTTTACTGTTTCTCTCAACTCAGTGTTTAACGTTAAATCACATCATTTCAGATTTCAGATTTCAGATTTCTGAGAGAAGAGAAGAGAAGAAGAGAAGCCAAAGAGAAATAGAAAAATAAAAAGAAAAACAGAGCATCCCATTCTCTCCCTTCTCTCTCTCTCCTCCCCCCCCCCCCCCCCATAGAGAAAGCGACAATTTCCACTCTCTCGACCTCTCTACAAGTAGCGCTATGGAGTTAAACTAGTAAGCACTGTTTGCAGGCCTAACCTCACTACAGTGACAAAGCAATAAAGATCTGAGAAAATTTGATACGAAATTGGCACTCTTTACATATTCATAGACTTAAGGAAAGAAACCGTTGAACCCAACATCCATAAGAACTGACTCCTATCTTCTGAAAAATTAAAAATTTTATTATTCCCAGAAATACACCGAAATAAAGTATGAAAAATAATTTTTGGCACAATAAATCTTATTTTCACAGAAGAGAAGTGCACATGTGAGTATGGTTGACAAAGCGGAACAGGGATAGAAGAGTCGGCCTGGTCAAAGTCGCTGTATCTTAGCTGCCTCCTTTCTCTCATAAACGCTCAGTGTGTATTAATTACGTTTAATATTGTCGTAAACATTCATTTGCACAGATTTCAGATTTCAGATTTCCTGAGAGAAGAGAAAGAGAAAGAAGAGAAGCCTAAAGAGAAAATAGAAAAAATAAAAAGCAAAAACAGAGCAATCCTATGCCATTCTCTCCGTCCTTCCTCTCTCTCTCCTGTCATCCCGCCCCCCCCTCCAAATTTAAAAATTCCCACCCTCGCTATCTGTTAATTCACGGTATTGTCTGAACTATTTATCTCATTCCGTAAGGGTGTCGCTCGGTCCACAGCCCTCTTTTTTTATCCCCCCCCCCCTCTTCTTTCACGTCTGACTTTTCTCATTCCCTCTCTCCTCTTTTTATATCATTATATATTAATAAAAAAAGGGAGAAAGAAAGAACGTTTTGAAGCTAAAAACACCCATGTGTTTTTGTTTTGGTTGCTTTTGATGAGAACTGAAACAGGAGAAGCCCAAAAAAATTAAAAAAAGAAAGTGATCAAGAAGAATCTCTGTTCTATACTTGGCTGGTTCTCTAACTATATCAAACTATACATTTCACATGATGCTAGCTTCTGCTTATTATTGCTATTAGGTAGTGGTCTTTACTCTTTACTTTTATTTTTCTTCTTTTTACTCTCTTCTTTCTAGCTGAGAGTGGGAAACAGAGAGAGAGAGAGAGAGAGAGCGAGTGTGTGTGTGTGTGTGTGTGCGTGTGACTCTTTCATTCCAAACAGCACTCAAGAAATGACTAAAGAAGAAGATTTTAAGCTCCTCAAGATCCAGGTCTCTTTCTCTTTCTTAACCGCACATTCTTTCTTTCCTTGTCTGTGTTTTCTTTATCGTTATATTTATTTATTATATTTCATTTTGTATATATTTTTTTCTTCAAGAATCTTTCTTCCTGTTTTTGCTATTTTCTTTCTGTCTAATTGTTTTCATTTACAGACTTGTGTTCTCAAAGTGAACATACACTGTGATGGGTGTAAGCAGAAAGTGAAGAAGCTCCTTCAGAGAATTGAAGGTGCCTACTTTCTTATCATATATATATATATATATAGTCTTTTGCTTTATTACTTGACAGTATATTATATACTTGAAACTGCTTTTCTTGTTCTCTTTTGTTTTTTCTAATCAAGTAAATATACTTGTCTTTCCTTATGGTTGTTCTTGTTCCTTTGGAAATTTAAATTATCTATAAATGCTCAAGCTAAAAAGTTAATTTATTCCACTTGTCAGGAATAAATTTATGATCATATCTCAGTTTGTAGCATTACCTTTTCTTTGGGGAATTAAGCAAAAGTAAATAAATAAATAATAATTGTAGTCCTTTTGATTTCTGTTTGTTATTTGGTGAAAAGGAACAAAATCAGATTAGACATAATGTGATTACCCAAAATCCAATTTTTTTTTTTAAAGTTCAAAACGCTCTCTGCTTAAAGAGTACAATTCTCCAGATTTGATTGGTTTATCTTCAGTTGAGAAATTATCTGTGTTTTATCTTTAGCTGGAGATTATTGAGATACTTGTCCAGACCTAGGAATAAGGTGATGACTTAGTTTGAGGAATAATTTTCCTTTCCGTCGCTCAATAATGTTAACTTATTTGATTTTTTTTTTGTTTTTTTAAATCTTTTGAGACAGGGGTTTACCAGGTAAACATAGATGCAGAGCAACAGAAGGTGACAATATCTGGAAGTGTAGATTCTGCAACTTTGATTAAGAAACTAGTCAGAGCTGGTAAACATGCTGAAGTCTGGTCTCAAAAGTCTAACCAAAATCAAAACCAAAAAAACAATTGCATCAAAGATGACAAGAACAACAACAACAACAACAAAGACCAAAAGCAAGGCATTATTAAAGGTCTAGAAGCTTTCAAGAACAAACAGAAATCTCCTGCATTCAGCTCTGAAGATGATGACTTTTTTGATGATGATGACGAGGAGGAAGATGAAGATTTTGATGAAGATGAGCTTAGATTTCTTAGGCCAAGTCAATTGGGTTTTCTCAAGCCACAAATCGATGCAAATAATGCAAAGAAAAATATTGCAGCCTTGGCAGCAGCAGTACCCAACAATGGTAATAACAAAATGAACAATAATATTGGAAATGGGAATGCACAAAAGAAAGGAAACCCTAGTCAGAATGTGGGAATGAAATTTAATGAACATCATCATCCAAGTGGAATCGATCAAAAGGCAATGGCAGCATTGAAAATGAACAATGCACAATTAGGAGGTGGAAATATAAATTCTGGGGATGGCAGAAGAGGAAATGACATAGCAACAATGATGAATCTTGCTGGTTTTCCTGGCCATAATGGAAGTATTGCAAATTCTGCTTCTGTAGCTGGTTTTGGAGGCAACAATCCCAATGGTTTAGGATTTCAACAGGTTCAATCAACTGCTGGGTATCATAATCAAGGATCAGCTGCAGCAGCAGCAGCAGCAACAGCAACAGCAGGGTTTCCTAGTGGTGGGTTTGCAGCGGGTCAATATCCACCATCTATGTTAATGAACACGAATGGCTATAACAACCATCCAGCTGCAGCAGCATCAATAATGATGAACATGCAAAACAGGCAGCAAGTCATGCAACACCAACAACCTCAAATGATGTATCACAGATCTCCTCTTATTCCACCCAGCACTGGCTATTACTATAACTATTGCCCTGCCCCTTACCCTTACACTGAACAACTGGAGCCCAATTACAATGGTGATAATTCTGCCCCAGCAATCCACATGTTCAGTGATGAAAACAATACCAGCAGCTGTTCAATAATGTAAACAAAAATAAATAAAATATTAAAGAGTATGGTGGTTTGACTTGAAAGGAAAAGGAAAAAAACAAAAAAAACAAAAGGGTGTGTTTTGGTGGAGTCAGTGGTCATGGCTTTTTGACAGTATTCTCTGGTATGAGATGTCATGAAGTGAATCTTATCAGTGTGAGGTGTAGTAGTTAGTATTTGTTTTTATTTTTATTTTTTTTGTTTTACTAGTTCAACTCTGTCTCCTTGTTTTTTTCTCCGTATCTGGACAGACTTGATATGTGGTTTGCAACGCCACACTACTATTACTACTAGTAAATGATCAAAAGAAAGGAGTGGTGATTAGTATATAAAAATGTTGCTTCTTTTGTTTAAGTGAATGCTTGTTTATTTATTGAAAGTTTAATTTACTTGCACAAATGGACAAGGTGGCTTCGGGTATTGTTCTTGAGCAGAGAGACATGATGACCCTCTGTGAGAAGGAAGAACAGGAACAGCTGGGTTGAAAACGCTTCACCATTTGTTAGTGCTTTGTGTGCACGTTGGGTGGAATTGCACGTGTGTCTCACGTGGATTAATTTCTGTTTATAGCTCTCACCGACAGGACCACAACATTGCTAACCCAAAGTTATTGGTGCTACTGACTTGGATATAGTTGAACATAGATAACAATTAGCCACCATAAATGATCAATTAGAGCTTCAAATAGGATGGTGGGAAAATTTCTTGCTGGTTTTGTGTTCGAATTTAGAATTTAATTCTGTTTTTCAAACTAAACAATAAAATTTGAATTTCACAATCTAATAGCATTCTAATATAGTGATGGAAAAACCCTCGAGCACCATTTGCAGGGACTTGATTTCTATGTAGATATCAACAATAAAGATGCCATCTTTTTTAGACAACGTTTACAGCATAGGATTCATAGAGCGTTGTACTAAAAAGGGCTGCTGTATCCATGTGACTTGACTTGTACAATTGACCTTGTTTCATTATATAAAATTCGTACCCACAAAGCAAAGACTTTTAATTTGAAGCATTTGTCACTTTGTAAAGTGGAAAGGAAAAGAAAAAGCATCTGGAATCAATAATAAACTCAGCATAAGCATTTGTCACAGAGAAAGGGAGTTCTTGGATTGATTAATATTTTTTTAAGCTGTGTCCACAAAGTGTTTGATGAAATGCCTGCTTGGCAAAGTACCAGCAGAAGTGACTAAAGCTAAAAGGAAAACTCTAGTATTCCTGTTAATTGTACCTTTATAGGTAAAAGGGTTTGTCTTTATGATTGCCTATGCAGTATGCACCAACTTTAAAAGAAATGAGACATAACAGAGAAGGCAGTAATGGTGGATGAACCATAGAAATAGGCTAAATCAGAAATTTAAAGTGTGGTAAAAGTGCATTACGAGATGAAAGGGAAAAGAAAAAGAAAGATGAAAACACTTTTTATAGGCATAAGCAATCAATGGAAGGTGAATGAATAGACAGGACAGAAATTAAATTTATCTATGGTCCCATATAATAATTTCTTTTGGCATAAATTTTCAATTTCAAGGCCAAAATTATATATATGACTAGGGCATTAGCGAATTATTCTCATCAAAAGTCCTTTAAATAGAATATTTTTTTTGAATGATTTGGTTAGACTTTTTTGTTTTAACTTATCAGGAGATCTGTAAATAGTCAAAAGGATTTACCACACATGATCAGTCACCCTTTAGTGTTATTATTGCTTTAGAGTTTGATTTTTCATAATTACTTTTATTTATGCAGTTTCACTTTTATCATTTTTATTTATCTATAAATATGGTGGTTTAAACATTTTCAATATTTTACATGCATATAAATAAGTACATTTTTAGGAAAAGAACAACTAAGTTTATTTAATTTTTTTTCTCAATAAAATGATATATATATATATATATATATATTTTTTATCTTAATAAATGATGGTGGTTTAAAACTCATTGTTCAATATTTTGTCATGCATGTATAAATAAGTTGTTATCAGGGTTTTGAGGTAGGAGACATACTAAGATTTATTTGTTTTTTTTTCTCATAAATGAATATATATATTGATGATATTATAATGGTATGTATTATTGAAGAATATATTCAATTCATAGTTATGTAGATATATATATATATATATATATTATTGAAAATATATCATTCATATTATTATTCTTTCTATACACAAATATTATAAATATATATTTAAAATAAGTGCACTATATTTATTTCACGTGTCTTCTCTAATAAGCCCAAGATAGTTTGGAGATGTCTTCTCTAATAAGCCCAAGATAGTTTGGAGAGAACGGCAAGCACTTCAATTGCAGTATTGTATTGTTTTATACCCTTTTCATAACTTTTCTTTTTGGGCTTTAAGCCCAAACTAAGATCCATTTTGGTCATAGCTCAAATCTGTGTTTCTGCGTTTGTTGGGACAACTCAATCTCATTGCATTTTGGGACTGTAATCCAAAATTTCGATTTTTTTTTTTTTAATAAAACATTTCGAGTTTTATATACATAAGTTGCTCAAAACTCAAAAGCCAACAAGTCACTTTCTTACCACTAGAACGAGTGCCTTCCAAGGTTAAAGTTGACAACTAGCCAATAATAATTTAAAAAATAATAAATTTTTTAATAATTATTATTGAACGAGATCCACAGCTGGCCAAGTCCAAATTTAAAAAAATTGATCTCCACGAATAATAATTTTTTTTTTAATAATATTAATACTTTTGACCATCTTAGTCTTCTGAAAATTTTTTATTAACTCAAATATGATAATTCTAACATTCTAACATTTATTTATTTTTTTAGATAGATATATATCGAGTTCAAATAATCAAATGACTTCATAGAGTCAAATTAACTAAAATTAATAATAGGGTCTGCCTTTTTTGAATTGTTGGAACTTTATGGAAAACAAAAAATAAATTGCATTTTTCTGGCAAAAATAAAACTTTTCAAGGAAAAATATCTCAGATTTTCTAAAGCCACTAAGCAAACATAGTGGAAAACTTTTTGTGTGTGATGTGGACATTCAAATCAATTTTGTGGAAATGCTTTTTCTAGAAATCCACTCTATCGGCGCACATCTCTAAACCTTTTCAATTTATCTAATAGTATTAATAAATTTTTATTGACTTAATTAATTGCTTGCTAAACTTCTAAATCTATATGGTGAATCACCCATTCCTTACACATTTAATTAATAGTTAATCGTTTAAAAAATAATAATTAAATTAAAAATAAACTCACCAATTGAAGAAGACATTTATGGTTAAGAGAACTCAATAGTACACGTAAGAATAAGAAAATCAATCAGAATCGGAAAAATAAGGAAATTGGATCAATCAAATAAGGAAATGATCGGATCAAGCAAATAAGAAAAGGATCGGATCAAGTAAATAAGGAAAGGATCAGAATCAGAAAAATAAGGAAATTGAATCAAGCAAATAAGGAAAGGATCAAATGCAATTATTGTAAATATTCTATATGTTGTGTATATAAACACTGTAATTTACAGATTGAAAGGTATGAAAAGCAAATAAGTAAAGAGGATCCGATCAAAGTTAAATAGGAGCAGAAAGGAATATTTTCAGAATCATGAAAAACATAAGGAAATTGAATCAAGCAAATAAGGAAAGGATCAAATGCAATTATTGTAAATGATTCCTATATGTTCGTGTATATAAACACTGTATATTTTACAAGATTGGAAAGGTTGAAAAAATAATGTCTTTTTTTAACCCCTAAAAAGTTCTATCCAATGGTATGAGAGGCGCAAGTCTTTCAAGTAAAATCATTAGAAACCTACACTCGGGGGTCAGTTTCTGTCTAGGGTTAAGAGGTCATCACTCGTAGCCACAGATTATGTTCGGAAACTTGACTTTTGAAGATGGCGTTGCAGAGAGCGAAATTAGCTGTGCGTCTACAAACAAGATATCAATGGGCGAGCAGATCTATTCTTATGGTGGGGAAAGCCAATTAATACCTGGAAAAAACTGTTTTCAACAAATACAACAACAACAAACTCTAACGCACATGAAATAACAACAACGATTAAAACAGGTGACGTATCTCAGAAAAACATAAAAACAACCAAAATTAATATATTGCAAGATGGTTTTAGCCAAGAACGTGCATGTATTTGGCTCAATCAATAGTTGGGATGTGTGGTGGCATGTTCTGGTGGTTTTGGTGGTCTTTGTTGGGTTTTCGGGGGTTGTTTGTTTTTTTGGTGACTGTGTATGGTGGTGGATTGGGTTTAGGGTGTTGTGGTGTGGTGTTGTTTGGTGGGGGGTGGTTTTGTTGTTTTTTTTTTTGGGCTGTGTGTTGGTGTTATTTATTTGAACAGAATAGGAAGAGGCTCTGGGGTGTAATTCGAAGGTTAGAGTTGGCGCGATTGTGAAAAAGGTGTGTAGTTATTTTAGCAGTGGTGGCGATGTTGTTGTTGAACGAACAAGAACTATCAAGACGAACGTATACAGCCCTCACCACTTAAGCCATCGCGAATTGCTTAGAATATCGCCAATTAGGCAGAAGCACTTCAGATTTCCAATTTGTAACCAACATATATGGATGCATTAGTAGAAATATTAGAATGCCGACTTGGTGAACTAGTAACGTCTTGATTTAGTCAAGATTGGACACTAACAACTGGCATGGTAGTAGAGATGTCTTGCGGTGACGTGAGAGGATAGTAAGGGCAATGTATAAGTAATGTGGTCAGGGTGTGTCTACCAGTATGTCTGACTGTGGAAAGCCTAATAGCCTAAAGCTAAGTTTCAGATATCTCATTGAGAATTTTTTTAGCAGTAAGCTTCTAGGCTATTTGGAAGGAAAATTGACAGAAAAGAATTGCAATCGCTTATGAAAATGCTCTAAGAATATGGGCAAAGCGGATCTAGCAATGGGCTAGATGCAAAGGGCAACATGAATTGTAATAATTACTTGCAGGGATAACTGATGGTATGAAACAAAGGCGTAGGTGAGAGATTCTGAATTGAAGATCTGGCATAGCAAACTAAAGGTGAGATAGAAGCATAAAGTGCGAGAGTCAGAATTGAGAGTAGAGAATTAGCGTGGCGCGAAGAGAGATCCGATGTAAAGGGGGCCATCCATGCGGGTTAGACGATCGCTGCATGTATGGATTGGGGGAGTGGGCTCGCCAGTCGTGTCCGCAGAAGATTAAGGATCAGACGTCACATAGCACCGATTGCGGCCTAAAAGAGCAGGGGCGGCGCTATATTGCTTCAGCTCCGGCGGGAGAAGATGATAAGAGTGGTCCTGAAATGGTCGCACGTGCGAAGGTTCAATGGGCACAAGCCAAGAGGCGCGTGTTCAATTAATATAAGGTTACCC